ATCCTTTCAGAAGCCGGTCGTAGTCGTACGTTGTGTCCTCCTCGATGGGCCAGTCGCAACTTGATATGAGCTCTTCTAATCTGTTACCGTCATGAACGACTTCTTTCGTTCTTGCGGCGCTGTGGCAGACCTTTTCCAGCCTTCGGCTGAGTCGTATCTTCGCTCGAAGGAGGCGGTGAGCGGAGCTTTTACAGAAGGATGGAACTACAGAGACATCGATTAAGCTCCACCTTCGGTTGGTGAGAATGTGGTCGATCTCAGCATGAGTCGTTCCGTTGGGCGATTCCCAAGTCCACCGGCTATGTTTTTTCTTCATGCAGATGGAATTTCCATGGAAAAGTTGTGCGGCGGAGAGAAGCCCAACAAGACGGTTTCCGTTTTCATTCCGAAGCTCATATCCAAACTTTTCGATCCTATATTCCTCTTCTAGTGGCATCCCAATCTTCGCATCGAAGTCGCCCTCAACAAACTTGTAGAAGGACTTCTCGTTGCGGACGACCTGCTCCACGTCCTCATAGAAAGCAACTAGTTCTGAGTTTCAGCTGCTGATGTTGATGAGTAGCAGTTGATGATGCTGATGGTCTTCTGACGTGGAGGGCGTAGTTGTAGGATGCCTAGTCGAGGTGATAGGATCACGTGAGATGGATGGACGACAAAGCCGACACCTCCCACGTTTCGTGATGGAACCTTTTCACCACGAATGATGAGGGTCCCATTATTCATCTGTCACACGTCCTTCTTCCTGGATTTCGTTTTCTGCGGAGCATGATGTGGTACTTTATGTGCTCTGCAGCGTTGAGAAGAGCGTGAAGGCCGGCGTTTGTGGAAACTGTCCTGGCTTTGTAGATGCAGAGCATGAGGCATGGCGTGGCGTGTCGTCCGGGCTGTCGTTTCTGTCCAATCCAAAAGGCGCCCTGAGTACCCTAACATCGTTCTTGCTACCACCCGGCGCCGTAGGCGGGATCCGATGTGCAGGATTTATTTCTCTTCTTTTTGCTGAACGAGCAATAAAATGTTTTTTCTACAAGAGCGACTTACTAGGCCAACTCTTGATTTCCACAAGGCGATCGCTGACCTGAGTGTGAAGTGGGGAGGACCGCTTAGTGACCGGAGAAAGCCAGGCGGCGGGGGATCTGGCCCCGCAGGTTCTTGGCTAGGCATCTGGCAGAAGCCGAAACGTCGGACTCCTTCACAGCTTGGGAGGCTCTCCCAGAGTATACACTCGGCTGTGCATCGCAGTTCGACACCAGCGTCATCCCTACGCCACGTTGAGGCGGCCGATCATTGTGGGGGATTTTTCGAACTGAAATTGAAATGAAAAAAAGTATTTTTTGGATAGAATCGTGATAATTCTTTAAATTTCTACAACCAACTAAAAATCAAGTTTCTGGGAACGTTTATTGAGCCCTTGCGTTACAAAATTTCTAAAAATGTTTACAGTCGATATTCTAGATTCAAAGTTTTTTGGGCTTCGCTATTCTCAAACAAAATTCCTGTATGAAAAATTGAATAGCTTCGCTCATTTATCGAGTTTTGTTAAGCATAAATTTCTTAAATTTAGCAATTTTTCAAAGAATTATAAAGTTCTCTTCTTCGTGTTTTTACGCGCTTTAATGAAATTTATGAAAAGTTGATAAACTTGCACCCAAAATTTCCCCACAAATTTTTTCCAGGTTTCGCTTTTCTTTGAAAAATCACAAATTTCCTTAGTTTCCAAACTTCAGGCCTTTTTCGTTCGAATTTTCTCGATGATATTCATCGATATTAGAAATTCCTGTTGGTGAATCGTTCGCATCATTTCGTATTCATGAATGTTTCCACATCCACGGAACACGGCTTCCCATATGTGTTTCCAAAGTACATAATTTGACTGTTCGTACATGGGCGTCCTTATGAATGTTCATAGTACCTACCCTTTCCATCATTTTCCTTGTCACACATGGAAGAAAGTGCAACCTAGTTTACAAAAAGTGGAGTATGATGCTGGTTTTCTTGAGGAAAAGTCTTTAAACAGAGGTCGAAGCTGTTGGCTTAAAAACGAGAGTAGAAGAAGGCCTTACAGCTCTTCTTCTGAATTTTGCTTGGTTTAAATATTTTCAGTTGTGAGTTTTGCTATGGTTTATGATTTTTGTTGGTTTAATTTTTTTCGTTGAAAATCAAAGAACATCTTGGTATCTTATTTTTTTAGTCCAAACCCTTTGATTGATTGAAGCACAAGTCTGTAAAATCTTTTCGAAATCTTTGTCGACAAAGAAATTTTTTAGCGGATGATTGATTTATATAAGGTCCATATCTATAACCTGTCCCAATTACCTCTTCTTCTTGTTAACAGATGTAGACGACAGGTTAAAGCAGAAAATCGCTCGAGGCCTCCGGTCTTTGACCGGTGCACTCTGGAAAAAGAATTGCTCTTGCGTGCCCTTCGAGGCCACTTAGGATTGCACGAGTCGCCATTTGCGAAAAATTGTTGTTCGATAATTTCCGGGAAAAACGTTAAAGGGTTGCGATAAGGTTGTTCACATTTTTCTTCACGGGCAAACGGTGAGTCTTTTCTTGTAATCAGTAGCTTGAACAAACTGCTCTCGTTTCCTATCAACTCTTAATGGAATTCTTATAGGCTTATCTTTGGTCATGGTTTTTTGAATTTTTCAACAGCGTCACCATACTTCACATATATCGTTGTGCACCATATTTTTGTGCTTTTTGGCATGTAACAAAGAAGTAACATTGATTGATCGATGTTATGTTGCAACACCGATCAGTCATCTTCAGAGTCTTTTCTGGGCCGTCGCAACGCTCCGCGAATTCCTCTTTGAAATTACATCAAAATCGTGGGGTATGAAAAGATACAAGCAATTTCGTGTAGGTCATAGAGAGGAAGAGAGAGGAAATCGGCAGGATACTGCAAATAAGTTCCTGTTTACAAAGGAGATCCGTTTGGTCGAAATGGCCTTTTCACGTGATATTGAAACTATTATAAAGAGCATTCAACCCTAATTGTCATCGTTATCTGCCGTGCGCCTTTGGACGTCAAGTAATGAGCGTTTTCTGAGTTGAAAAGATTGTGGGGGGGGGGGAGCGTTTTTCATTCAGTGCGCTGAATTTTTTGAACGAGGATCGCATTTGGAAGAGTCTCATTCGCTTGTCTGCTATACTAGTAATGGCCCGTAGTAAACCCTCCGTTAGTGCATTTCCTCTGAGCTTAATTTGGACTTACGGCGTTTCAGCGCGGTATCAAGCACGCCATCAATTTGGATCGCTTTGTAAGCATGATAGAAACTGCGTATTCTCAAAGAAAAAACAGGTTAAGAGATTGTGCAGGCTTGGGGCTAAAGCTCGTGTGATACACGCGGCAGCACCAGGGTTCGCTACCGGCAGGCGGCGACATTTTTGTTATATAGCCGGTGCAGTCTTTGATAGCGGCCACTATCAAAAAAATCGATGGTGGGCGCTGTCTTTGCTGCGTAAACGAGGACATAAACCGGATACAACAACTTAGCATTAACATCCATAAAAAATCATGATTCTTAGAAGACAAAGAGAGACTTTGATTTTTAGTTTGAGCATACTTCGAAGAATATGAAGATTTGATTCACATAGCTCAATTAAATATGTAGAAAACTTGATATCTCAATTTTGCTGCGATCAGCTGTTCGTTGATTATCCCCATCTGTATCCCACCCTATTTGTGCAATTTCGGGCACTAATGTCCGCAAAATTAGCCAGCTGACATGTCGCGTAGGTTACTCACGGGCAACTTACGAGGTTTGTGTCTGCGTCTCCTTGCAGACACGCTATCTCTGTAAGCCAGACCGACGGCGACGGCTTAGCTTGAGGCAGGCAGCGCAGCTCATTGCGGCAGCTGACCGGACCCTTGGCTGTCAACTCATCGCATTCTTAATGCACTGTAGCAAGGGGGATGTAAGATTAGCTTACGGATCTCTTCTGAGGGGGTCAGCGCAGATCATCTGAGCTGAGAGGAGGTTTACTGCGGGTCAATTTGTGGCTGGCGGAGGAACGCCCACTGAACAACTCAAAAATCAAATCTTTTTATCCTATTGCAGTGAAATTCTAGCGGCACTCCCCCACACATTCCCCGCCTCATTTTGCTCAACCACATCTCTTTCGCTCACTTTTTTTGGCAACTTTAACGTTAGTGAGTCACTATGGTATAACAATAACAAGCATGTCTCACCCATCTCTTTTGAATGAGTTGATTGACAACGATGAAAATATCTGGGTGGCTAATTTGGGGGAGGGGAGGGGGAGGGAGGGGAGCGAGGGGGAAGAGTAGAGTCACATTCTGATAGCTGCGAGAGATAGTTTAAACTCCGGTTTATTGCCAAGGTTACCATTCTTCGCTTGCACAACACGATTAAACTCATCTTTGATCAGTAGAACTATTTGGACAGGCATGGTGACTCACTTGCGTTTGTCTGAAACTTTGTAAGCAGAAAGATGTAAGGTGAAAATCAGCTACTCAGACTTTTTTGTCAGAGAGAAAATCCATGAAATTTATTCTAACATTTTTTGAAGAAAAATCCGAGGATATTTCTCAACAATCGTAGCTCGAAAATAGATGAAGAAAAATGAGTTTTTTTTTCAAGTTTTTGCTAAGGAGTAGAATAATAATGTTAAACTGCACAAACTGGCTGTTCCTCTCAAAATTGCAAAACATACATTGCATGGCAGTATGCACTTCAATGCATTCGTAATAAGGCTGAAAAAATGAATGAACTTCCCGGCGTAGACAAAACGGGGGAGGGGGTGGAGGTGACAAAGAGTTGTGGTGCACTACGATCAGCATGCTAGATCCCAAAAGTGCGAAACTCTGAGCTATGTCGAAGTATGTAACTTTATTAGATTTTATTATTGAAGATATCATGGCATTTCTTATAAGAATGTGAATTTCACTTTTCTTTAAATAGCAACTATTTCTATTGGTTTTTCAAGTATTGATCTTTGTACTCCTTTTACTCTTGCTTATGTGATTATTGCAGGCTCATCCTGGAGATGCACCAGTTCCTGTGCCCTACCTAAAGAAGCTTGGACAACCGCTAAAAGCTGGACAGACGCTAGATATCCATGGAAGGATAAATAGAGATGCCTATGAGTAGGATACAGAAGTTCTAAATCAGTTAATTTTTGTGAAGAAGAGGCGAGGGGGCATGGAGTTGCTATTTTTCCGCCATTTCTCATGATAAGCAATGTATAAATTGCGCTCACTGCTTCATCGCGGTTCTGACGCCTTCAAGTCGCGTAGAGATAATGGGAGCTTAGAGACGCAGACATATGCTAGCCGCTGCGGTCGCGTTTATGCAATGTCTGCGTCGCTGAAGTTCTTTGATGTCCCGCCCCTCTTCCTGTTCTTCACTGAAATTCCTGAAAAGGTCCGGGAAGGGAGTTTCGGCTCTTTAGCTTGTAGATATGGCACCAAAAAATTGAAAATAAGATTATTCCTTATCAGAGTTGAAATCAATCTTCTCCATGATGCACCCACCATTGATCCTGGACAGTGCGTACTCAACATAAACCTTCGCTTTGACGAAATGAAGATCGTCATGAACAGCTACCTGGTATCAACTTTTTTCAATTTTAAAAATTCTTAAGTTATCATTAACGTTGAAGAAGCTGAGGAATAGCATTTGTACGTAGGATTAATATTGTTGTGTCTCTAGAAGTTTACTTTAGAATGGAGAGTGGGGAAAAGAAGAAGGCAAATCAATGCCATATAAGCAAGGCGAGGCATACGACCTTAAGATTAGGTAAGTTTTTAAGTCAACTGAGAAGCAACAGCATGGTTGTTTCCTTGCTTTCTAACGCAGATAATTTCTTAAGAAAAGAAAAAAATGGTCTTTTCTTCACTGTTAAAGTTCAAAAGTGAATAGTTCAACTTGTAGATCGAATTTTATAAAAATGTTTGAAGTCATTTTGGTGTCGTTCCAAGCCTACTTTCTTCGTAAATTATACTCTTCTTATGTTTCCAAGTTATAACGAAGAACATGAAAGGGATTTGAAATTTGCAACTTTCAAAATTTTCATCAGTGAAGGATTGCCCACGAAATATTCTTTTTGATGATGCACAATGTGACATTTTTGTTTGAAAGCTGCACTCAGAGTGCGCTTCTGCTAGTGCCGTGCCATTGCCGTGCCATTGCCGTGCCATTGCCGTGCCCTTGCCATGGCATCGCTGTGGCAGTAGAATGCCGCTAGCTTTGTACCAAAGCAGTACTGGACGAGTTGGGCATCGATTAGTCGACCTTATCCACACCTGCGCAGTTCTAGCACGGTGCTGCACGGCGCGGGAACGATGTTGGCACGGCTAACTCCATAAACATTCTAACAGTGTAAATGACTACTTTTCTTTCAGGGTGCAAGAAGTTGGTTTCGAAATCTGGTGTGATGAGAAAAAACTTCACACCTACAAACATCGCATAGGTTACGATGCCATTGACTATATTCAAATTGAGGGTGACTGTACTCTGTCTGGAGTTCACTGGGGTGGAAGGTATGGAACCATCAAAATTATCACGGTGAGATAGAGTGCTTTTCATTGCAGGTACTACAATATCCCGTGGGAAACAGCCTTCCCGGACGGAAATTTGCGAGCGGGTACGTTTTTTCATTCAGGACCCGCACATAATACAGAGAAAACTCTTAAATTTTCTAATATAGGTCAAAGCATTCTGATACATGCTATTTCAAAAGGTGAAAGTTGGAGTCTGAACCTTCTAGGCGAAGGTGAAGATGGTGAAGATATTTTGTTCCATTTCAATCCCAGATTCGGGGAGAAACAGGTCAGTTGGAAAAATTGATGGTGACAAGCATTAGGCACACTGTGGCTTCGTTACAGATTGTTCGAAACAGCCAGATAGATGGTTATTGGGGCGAGGAAGAGCGTGAAGGACCATTCCCATTTGAGAAAAAACACGGTTTTGATCTCAGAATCGAAAATGAACCCTATGCCATACATGTGAGCTTATCTAGCGGTGTGTTCCTGTAAGCTGCGGCAGTCTACCGTACAATAACCGTATCTTTATCTTGATCTTAATTCATCCCGAACGGTTTTTCGTATAAACAGAATATAAGGAACGTAAAGATACAAAGAGCTCTGAAAGAAGCTAATTAAAATTGTGATATTCATTTTGATTGTTAGCGTTATATGTTAGAATTACGGTTGACCATGTGGTAAGAAATCGAAGTCACAAATTTTTGTCCCAAGTTTTACCATAAAATAACTCTGCCTACCGTATCTTTACCGTAATGCGCCAGGTTAATTCTTTTCTTACATTTTTTGTGAAAACAATCTAAAATTTTTAGTGTTCTTGACGAAATTTTCTTTCCAGATCTTCGTAAACAACGAGCGCATTGGCACATTCAAGCATCGCACTCCCCAGCCAACCGAAGACTACACTGGAATAAGAATTGATGGTGATATCGAAGTGACTAACGTTGAGTTTGTCTAATCGACATCGATACATTATTGCTGCTTAAAACGATACATATACGCCGTATTTATGTGTTGACTATATTAATCGTTATGTTTCACTTTCTCGCAATTTGCTATTCATCATCTGTTTTTCGCCCTGTTTTTGATGTGCGAAGTTTGTGTTTTAGAATTACCGCAGTAAAAGCATTGAAAGAGATAGGACGTCATGATTTGAATTTTGAAACGATGCTCAAAGTTTTACGAAGAGTATTGGTGAAGAACAATGAAAACCCTTTTAGTACTTAATGAGCTCACGGTATCCACAAATTATCAGGAACCATACGTATATTTGAGCTTAGCCGCTTGCTTAATACACTTCGCTCAATGCATTTTTAATGACCAGTGCGTCACCTCCGCTTCGCGGAGGTTCGCGCTGGCTCCCTATCCGTATGCCTTTCTCATGTTCGCATGAGAATGGCTTTGAAACTCACACGCAATGCTGAGCGTCACGAATGAATCGTAAACAACTGTTCATTCATGAAGCATCTCCATGTAAGATCGGTAATTTTGAGAATAAAAAAACTTTGTTGCAAGGAAACAAATGCGAATTTGAACGGATTACTGAATTTATTTTAGTTTGATAATTGTCATAAGGATAATAGCCACTTTGGGCTACATTTCAGTGCAGAAATCTTTTCAGTTTTTTCAAATAAAACCTTGCCAAATCGACTATCTACGCGTTCATCACTTTTTGGCGCTGTTTTCGCAAAAAAGCAAACCTTTTGAGCACTTTTTGGGCTAGAATTCATGGCGCGCAGAGTTACTTGTCAGGCAAATCATAACTTTGCAAAAAGTCGAATTAGCGACCCAGTTTTGCGTGCCAAAAGGCGTGTGGACCCGTTTGACGCGCAAATTCTGAGGGACCCGCTTATCGAACAGGCTTGTCCTTCCGCATGGTATGCCTACACGCTTGCACGGTATGTTATGCAAAATTGCAGCTCGATAGCTTAGTTGTAGCTTGGTAGTAGGTAGTAGGTATAGGTATATAGCAGTGGCGTACCCAGGATTTCGGCTCGGGGGGGGGGGGGCGCGGCAAAAAAAATTTTTAAATGGAGGTGCGTGGCGTTAGCCACGCACTCCGAAAAATTTTTAGGGGGGCTTCTCAACAATTCTGCGGGCCCCCAACCCCTAAAATCTGGAAAAAGGGGGCGTGGCGTCAGCCACGCCCCCGAAAAAATTTTTTTTATAAGGCTAATTTGAATTTTTAAAAAACTTCAAAAATTATTTTAATTGTTTACAAAAATAAACAAGTCATTTGCACATTTTTATAACGCATGTAAGTAACTTTCAAAAATTTCGCAACCCGTTCTCGGGGGGGGCGCGCGCCCCCCCCCGCCCCCCCCCCTCGGTACGCCACTGGTATATAGTAGGTATAGTAGTATAGTAGTAGGTATAGGTAGTTGGGTAGGTATAGGTATATAGGTAGGTAGTTGGTAGTAGGTAGTATATAGGTAGTTGCAGCTTCCTCTATAAATTTCGTGATAGACAGATTTCCACACAGACAGACACACACACAAATAAACAGACGGCCTTAGCGCGTTATTATAGTAGGACTAGCTGGCTTACCCGGCTCCGCCGTATCCGGACCAAACTTGGCACACATACACTTCGGGCCCCGGCGGGTGTCACAGTCCACTTTTCGTTATCGATCGATGTCGACTTTACCGATTTTTATCGATTTTTTTGCAGAGTTCACCTACAGGGCTAGGAGTTGGACAGGGGGGGGGGAGTGAGCATGGGGATTCCGAATACAATATTAGTTTTCAGAATTATCGATTACTTTTATTGATTTTATCGATTTTTTGTAAATTTTGACATGCGAGGCTGGGATTTTGCACAGGGGGGTAATCGAGCATGCTGATTACGAACACAATATTAGTTTTCAGGATCGTCCATTACTTTTATCGATTTTATCATTTTTTTTTGTAAAGTTTGACCTGCGGGGCTGGGAGTTTGCACAGGGGGTAATCGAGCATGCAGATTACGAATACAATATTAGTTTTCAAGATCGTCCATTACTTCTATCGATTTTATCGATTTTTTGAAAATTTGAGCTAGGGGGCTGGAATTTGGCACAGGGGTGTAATCGAGCATGCTGATCACCCCCCTTGGGGATGATCAGCATGCTCGATTACCCCCTTTGGGGATGATCAGCATGCTCGATTACCCCCCTGTGCCAACTCCCAGCCCCCTAGCTCAAACATTGCAAAAAAATCGATAAAATCGATAAAAGTAATGAATAATCCCGAAAACCAATATTGTATTCGGAATCCCCATGCTCGATTACCCCCCTGTGCGAACTCCCAGCCCCGTAGCTCAAACTTTGCAAAAAAAAATCGATAAAATCGATAAAAGTAATCGATAATCCTGAAAACCAATATTGTGTTCGGAATCGCCATGCTCGATTACCCCCCTGTGCCAACTCCCAGCCCCGTAGGTGAACTCGGCAAAAAAATCGATAAAAATCGATAAAATCGATATCGATCGATGACGAAAAGTAGCCTATGACACCCGCCGGGGCCCGAAGTGTATGTGTGCCAAGTTTGGTCCGGATCAGTTCAGAAATGGAATTTTCTATTCGGAACATACGTACACACATACATACATACATACATACATACATACATACATACATACATACATACATACAAACAGACATTCAGCTTTATACATAAGATATTATGATTCAATGATTGGTTGTCATGATCTGAAATATTCTCTGCTTGCCACTGCACAATACGCTCGTATCTTTTGAAAAAATGACGCACAGTTGCCCGATTCATGTGACATCACGTAGCGTAGCCATATCTCGCTTCAGAGTGGCCAAATTCTTGATCGGGTATCATTCAACTCAGCTCGGCGCGGCGCATCTTCTTATATATAGAAGTGCTCCTTTGGGTACCGTAGGAGGCCAGATTCCACAAATCAAAAAGGTTTTTGCTTACGGTCGGTTAGTCAGTGTGCATATTCATGGCACTTATTGAGCAACCTACCGTAGGCAATGAATTCGTAAAATTTGGCCTCGTACTCTATCCAAACAGGCACTTTCATATAACTGAAGAAGTGTCGCGCCGAGCTGAGTCGAGTGATGCCCTTGGATTAACCCATTACGACGATGTGGACCACCGGTGGCCCATGCCCTTTGCAAAGTCGTATTGATTTTAGGTCTAGTAATTTTCCCACATATTGGAATTTTTCGAATTTTTGTGCACCCCTGGGACCTGTAGGCTCCGTCGTTTAGGAGAATGTCCACAGTTGCTTAGAAACCAGCCTTGCATTTCATAAATAATCACAAAACGTTCCCACACCGAAAGTGTTGTGTAATCGCGTCGTCCCACAGCGGCGCCACGCAAAAATAGGCGTCGTCGTCAGTGGGTTGAACATTCGTTCACTCTAAGGCGAGATATGGCCACGCTGCGGTGATGTCACATGAATCGGGCGATGTGCATCGTTTTTCATTGCAGGCGGTATTGTACGTTAGCTCACAAAGAGTTTTATTTTCTTTTCCCATAATCTTCTCGAAAGTTTCGAAAGCGATCGGCGGTGGCAAGAGTTGTACAAGTCATTGTTATCAGAAAACATTCAATAAATCGAAAATATCGCTTGGTTGGGAAAAATTATTTTTCTGATGCTATTTCGACTTTTGGGTTTCAATTTTATTAAGGCTTGGTTAAATGGATCTAAGTCGGTAAAGAGCTGGATTGTCTCAGAAATGCAAATTTTGCCATCAAAGCATGCTTTTCTTCTGCTATGGGCTCTGTTCCTTTGAGGATGTTGCTTCCATATGGCAGAGTTTTGCAAATTTAGATAGTTTTAATAATTCGTCATGATCACTATGATTTCTTTTCTTTTCCTCTGATTTTTAACGTCTTACCTTCAGCTTAGTTAGAAAACGGGCACCGATTTTTTTCATTATTGTGAAAAAGAATTTTTCCGATTACTCAGACAATCACAGGCTCTCAGCCGGCAGCCACAAAGCCACCGCGAAAACCCACCAAAAGCGCGGTGGTCTCATCGCCTCACTGTCGCTTCCCGCTGAGAACCGTGTCAGAACTGGCAGCGAGCGGGCTGCTATGAAGTCTTCAGCGCGAAGCGAAACCGCCGCTTTTGCGAAACCGAGACCACCGCGCTTTTGGTGGGTTTTCGCGGTGGCTTTATGGCTGCCGGCTGAGAGCCTGTGATTGTCTGAGTAGTTGACGCGACGCTGGTAATTCCATATACGCCTCCTTGCTTCGACCTCATCTCTAGAAAAAAAAGATAGATCCGTTGTGACAGCCGTTTTCCCGATGAATATCAAATTTGGTTATATTGCCCTACAAACGTTTGAAGGGTTGTTTTGGAATCAACAGGTACAAAACCCTACAACAGAAGTTTTCAGACATCTTTGAGTTTTGCTAGACTAGCTGCATGCCTGAAGTATGGAAATCTATATACATATAGAACTCAAACACTGTACCTTTGTTTGTTAGGATGTGTATTATAGACTCCTCTGTATGTGAACCGAGGAGGCTGAAATTTGTTCTCCTACGAATGAAACACGGCGCAAAAGATAGGCTGCTTTTCGCGACTTTTCGCTGGGTCCTTCTATCGATTTATTGATTTGTTTGCTAACATCTAGGAAAATGGAAGCCATATCATTGATTCCTCCAAGTAGTAAGGCGCGATAGAGATCATTTACATTTTGCGGTGAGGAGGATGCGCTGTCACGAAGCGAGATGGTCAAGAAGGAAGACAATTTCACCACGGATACTACATGAGTGCTGGAACTGACTTGAAGCTGAAGCAGGAGGGGAAGAGAAGATATGAACCAAAGGAAGTGGAGGAATGGTAAGCAAACATCTTGAAGCACCCTATGCTGGGCCATTTTGGACCTTCTGCCCAGGCGGGACCGTGGACCGCAGCTAGTGTCATAAGTCCTTCTCTGCATAAAATTCATCTGTACCTTACCACTCTTTTATATAAAACCAGTGCGTCACCTGTGCTTCGCAGAGGTTCGCACTGGCTCTACTATCTATGTGCCTTACTCATTCTCGTAAAATCGTGGCACTGGAACTCACCGCGCTATGCCGACTACCACGAATAAAACGTAAACAACCACTCATTTAGAAAGTCTTTTCACGTGAGATCGGTGATTTCGCGTGGATGAAACTTTTCA